TAATAGTATGTTTTAAATTTTTTTTTAAAAGGTTTTATAAAAAAACCCCGTGTATTTTTAAAAGGGGGGGGGGGGGGAGCAGAAAATTCATGTCTTGTAATTTTACAATCCAATCTTCTTACTCTGTAAATTAAAATATAACTAGATCTCTTTTTCAATGAAACTTATTTCCAAGGAACAGATGATATAGGCATAGTATTGGCATTTAATTACTTGCACTCCTTGGAACTTTTTTGAAACCGTATTGATATGATGATTAGATGAGACTATTAATAAGGTGTCCCAGGCAAATTCCTGTCCGATTTATTGTATCTTGTCTCTGAGAAAAATTTCTGCCATGTTATTTAGTAATACAGTTTCGATTTATTGCTCAGTACAACAGTACTGATACACCATCAAAATGAATGTTTACTTCTTAAATGCCTGCATTTAAGCTGTAGTGAGATGAAGTGTGCCTGGTGTACGTGGTTAATATAAAGGGATCTGCAGTGTAGCATTATATGAAGGTATTGTGATGTGAAAGTTATTAACATTTAGTTGTATAAACAGTGCCTGATCTAGTTCTATTACACCTATAATTATCTTCAACATAAGCAAGCTGTATCAGTGTAATGTGGGACTGACACTGCTGTAGTTAACCAACACTTCAAATTTTACATCTGTACATTGTTGGGACATCGGGTTTATGCTGGTGTCTACAGAGGAGACTAAATATACTAGTGTTGCTATGGGAGTTTACAAAATAACTCTCCTGGCTTATCTAAATAGCCCTAACATTATACAGACAGGCGGTGTCACTTACTTGTCACATTTAGAGGACAAGGAAATAAAGATAATAGCTTTCCATAAATAAACAGTAAGAAAATCTTGATCACTTTGTTTCTACCTAATGATTTGTAACATGAAATTTTTCTGTTAAAAGATGCAGCGAGGACTTCTGATTGATAAGTGTCTCTGATGACAAAGGTAAGTTTCATTTAACATTTCCCTGAGGAAGACTACTCTCTTAGGAGAAAATATTTTCTAGCTTTCAGTAATTCAAGTACATGTGAGATAAGTCTTTGAAAATATTGACAATATGCATAGAGGAAGAATGTTGAAATGCGTTGTAACTCTAGTGCTGTCAGTAAATTACATAGTTCATTACTGCCAAAAGTTCCAGCCTGCCAGAAGTGATAAACAATATTTTGATTGTTATATTTCAGCTTTTAACCCAGCATTTTAGGAACACTGTTCACTGAGAAATAAATACAAAGAATTGAGGAAAAATTTCCACAAAAAAGGGTGGGCTGAAGTCTTGAAATGGAGAAGTGCATACACGTAAGTACCTTCATTCAGAATAGTAGCGACCCTGGAACACTTTGACTTACGTAATTTAAATTTTAGCTTCAATTTAGAATATTTTATACTCTAGCTAGCTAACGTTCAGATTTCTTTTAAAAAATCCCAAACTACTTAGCATTAATCAAACTCTAGCATTTCTCTACTTAAAAGGAGCCAGGGACATTGTCATATTAGACAATTAAGGCTACGATTCTTTTTTTAACACTGCTTCCTTTCAGGCTCTCTCACCCAAGGAAGGAAGGAAAGTGCCATTTGTAAGATCCTGCCCTAAAGTTGTTCTGCAAAATGAGGACTGTTTTCCCCTGCCTTTTGTCTGCTTCAACTGTGAATGAGACCTAAGACTGCAGAATTCTCATTGAGTGTTCCAGGTAAGGTCTTTTGTGCGTAACCATTCTACAGTCTCTTCTGCATATAAGGGAGGCTGGTGTGGGAAATTCTTGGGATACTAATGTCAGATATGGTATCATCATCTCTCTTTCACCAGTGTTCACCAAAACTGATAGCAGGTCCTTAAGCTGTTTTCTGAGAAGAGAACAGCTTTTGATTTGGGAACTACTGTGTCAGCTCCTCTGCTTCACGCTGTTTGATCTCTGTTCAGCTGCTTAAAGCAGGTGGTAGGAGCTTGGCTTTTTGCTCCTCTAATCAGAGTTTCTAACTCCTAGTCCCTAGATAAGATAAGTGCACACTGCTTCATTTTTTTAATGCAGCAGCAATTCTAACCTAAATAAACTGATTTTTTTTTTTTTTTCTTTTTAGCGTTACGAATGTTTCTCAAGAGTCACGAGATGAAGAAACATTCTCCTTTTCAAAAAAGACAGGTGAAATCTTCAAGTAAACATTGGTTTTCATCAACTGAGGCTTAAGGTAAAATACCAAATGTTGGAAGATTCCCGATGAAGTCATGCACACTGACAAAACAGCTTTACAATTATCAGGAGACAGGCTGAGTTGGGAAGGTCCCAGAGAGAATACTGAAAGTTTTCTGGGATGTGTTTCTCTTCTACACATACTTCCAAGATTTGGTCATCTTGGTCTTTTCCTTACTAGGAGATCAGACTTTGCCTGGTATGTATCTAGCCTTATCTGGGAGGTCACTTTATTCCCCTGCAGGTAGACAACACTAACCACCATTTCAAAAATTTCTTGTCATAATCTTCACTACCTGGGGCCAGTGCATTCAGGGCCTGTGCTATGACTCTGCAATATTTGGTTGGCTTCAAGATTTGCTACCTGTTCCTTGTATTTTATGAGCGAAGTACAGTTTACTATCAAAGCCACCAGGATAGAAAGAATTTGAGGCCATTTGCCTTATTTTTGTGCAGCCCTGTTTTGAAGGTTCACTGGTTGTTCTGTGAGCTGCAAACGCCACCTGTGTCTCTGGAGTGCTACCTGTCTGAAGAGGTCAGCTTGCCACAGCTGCATTCCCCAGTGTGACATTAGCAGGGGCAGGAGGCACAAAACAAAGGAACACGTATGCCTGAAGCCCTTTGATGCTCAAAGTACCATTTGTAGTTCATACAGAAGTCCCATTTCGTAGCATGTTCATAAGCGAAGTTTCTGAAATTTCAAAACAGTAAAAAACATACTTTATTGTAGGATATCCTAGCAGCTGTCAAGGACCCAGACTGAGAGGATGTGTGTGGTATCCCCATTAGAGGTTTGCACTGGTGGTGACACTAGTGGCTGTAACTTATTCTTGGAATATTGGTAGATATAATATGGAATCCAGTAGTGGAAATTACTTAAGTCATTAACATGCCGAATGAGGCTCTCTTCCTATTGCAGTGTTCATGTTGAACATTGCTATTATCTTGAATAAAATGCTTGCCTCTTTCTAAGGGGAAAAAAGAGGAGAGAGTTGAAGTGGAGGAACAAGTGAAGTTAAGTCCTCAGGGGTGAAAAAAATTCCAGTGTCTGTTGTGTCTAAAATGTTTCTTGCCTGTTTTCAGTACACCATTAAATAAAAAATTACCTTTTTTTAAGTCTTCTACACAAGAGCAGTCAGGTTAAACCATTTATTTACAAAGACTGGATGCATAAAAACTTAGGGAAGTATGCAGGTGTAATCACAGCATAATAACCTTTAACTTCGGCTTTGTTTATTTTTTAATACTGTGGGGGTTTGTTACTTTTTTAATCCAGATGGTTTTGAAAGAGGGTAATGTTTGTCAGTAGAAAGTAAAGTACTCTAGTAAGTTATTGCTGCTTTCTGCTTTAACAAATACTATAACTCTAGCTTAACAGAAAAGCCCTACAGTATTATATGCAGACTTCTGGGTGCCTAGAGAGCATCCCATCAATGCCCTGTATACCTCAAAGCAGCTTGCTGCCTCACTGCAAAGTTCACAGATCCTCAGTGTTAAAAAAAAAAACCAAAAAAAAAAACCAAAAAAAAACTTCAGACCTTAGGTACAGCCTAACCATTAGTTTTTAATGTTACAGTGAAGTGGGCATGACACCCACGTTGTCCTGTCCGGCTGGGGTCTGCAGGCACAGCAGGACCCTCCTGCCGTCGCCATTGCCCAGTGCCAGCTCAGGCTTTCTGCTGCCATCTGGTGCTCTCACTGCTGGGTAGAAATGCATACTCATCCTGGAAAACATCTCAGGTTAGCCTAATCATCTTTTCTTGACATTTCTTTTTTCCCCTGAAGCTTTTATTGTTGTTAGCTTTGAAATGTTAGTAGTACAAAAGCAAACAGCCACAGTCAGTAAATCAAGTACAGTTTGTTGTACTCATCTCTTAATTCACATGTACCTGCTCTAGGACTGATTTCTCCTTAAGGCTCTCCCACTCCTGTGGGAGTCTCCTCTCCGCCTGGTAGGGCCTTGACAATAGGAGCTCTTGCTGTTACCCTTCCAGCATGTTGCTGCTCACCCTTTGAAATCACCTGATTCACTTCCAGTTATTGGGACAGCCATTTAAAAATTTTGACTCCACCAAAAGTGGTTCAAATCAAAAGTGAATCTTTGTTATTTTGTGGCCTTGTTTTGAAATTGGTTTTTCTTTGTAACGGTCTAAAACTCTTCAGATGGATCTGAAGAACTGAATGTCTTTGTTTCTACTTGGTTGTATAAATGCTCTGCACCGCTGCCTTTAACAGAACTCGACTTCATCCTCTTCCCGTTTTATTTAACGGTCCCTTACAATATGTAGCCAGCAGTGTTTTCGCTTTGCTCATGAAGAGCTCAAAACCGTACAGCGTGTGCGTGACCACTTTGTGCCATAACTCTGCCGTACCATCGGTGTTGGCACTCGTCCGTTACGCGTGAGGCCCGCCGGCCCTTCTGCTCCTCATCCCCGCAGAAGCAAGGCAGGTGACAGAAGGGGCAGTGGCATGCTCTCCCTCCGCCACATCACCCCGCCGCGCGGGTTCCTGCCGTTGAACGGGGCGGCTGGGGGCACCGCCCCGCCACACCCCGCCGCTGTTGCCCGTGACGTGTACGCGCTGACGATAGCCAGCGGCCCTGCTCCTTCCCGCTGCATTCTGGGAGCAGGGGCAGGAGCGCTGCCGCAGTGCCTGCTGGGAGGGGGGGAGGCCGTA